GCGGGAGGTGGGGGGGGCAGGTCAGCTGGGCGGCAGGAGGAGGTGGGACCCAAACCCGGGGGCCTTTGGGGGAGGGGACAGCGCCCGCAGCCCAGACAGGCCGACAGTGAGTGCAGAGCACCCCAGGAGGTGGGGCCAGAGATGGCCAGCTGGGGAGGGCCTGAGGGCCAGGCTGGGGGTCTGGCTCTGGGCCCTGCCCAGCTGCTCACATCCCTCCTGGCACCTCTTTTTCGGCTGACCCACAGCCTCTGACACCACTGCTGGCCCAGAAGCTTCCTTCGAAGTTCGAATGCCCACACCAGGACCTTCCCCCGAGGGGAAGGGGGACACGACCCAGAGGGTCCACATCAAGTCTTGCTTCCTGGAGGAGGTGGCCATTGGCAACAGCAACAGAATGAGTGTCGGCCTGGCGGCAGCTGGCCCAGGAGGAGGGGCAGGGCCTGAGGACAGCAGCGGGGATCCTGGGGAGCCAACAGAGGACGCAAGTGAGCCTGGGGCCTGGTGGGGCCCCGGAAAGTTTTCTCTTTCTCTCATTCATTCATTCATTCATTCATTCACTTCTTCAGCAGTCATGCATGAGCCTCCCCTTTCCCAGAGTCAGGGGGGTGGAGTGTCATAGTAACGAGGGTGTTAGAGGGTGTTAGCCCAGGACCTAACCCATCACTGAGCCCCTCTCCACCTGGAAACTGAGGAGCCAACTCAGGCCCCACGCCTGTGACGCCGTCACTCCTTGGAGCCTTCCGGAGCCCCTCCTCCAGCCCCGCCCGTCTGCCCTAGTGACTCAGTCCGCAGACTCTTCCCGAGAGATAATGTTGTAGCTCCCTCTCCCATCTTTCAAATCTGAGGAAGCAGCAGTTCCCCCCGCCCTCCGGACCCAGCCCCAGCCTCCCCTCCGATGCCCCCTCGCCGGGAGCGACAGCAAGGAGCAAAGCACACAAGTGCTTCCTGCTCATGGGGATCAGCGTCCAGGAGGGAACAGAGACAACTCACAAAGCAACTGAGCTTGTCAAAGAAAGAGCAGCGCTGCACAAAACAATGAAACCTGGGGGCAGCGGGCTCTGGGAGGGGCCCCTGGGCCAGCCAAGCAAGGACCTGAGGACAGCACTGCCCTGGTGGGAACAGCAAGTGCAAAGGCCCTGAGGTGGGAATAACGGTGAACTGTGCAGGGAGCGAGAGGGAGGGCACCGATGAGCAAGGGCGGGGGTCTCCACACCAGGAAGCCTGAGGGAAGGTCTGGATCTTACCTGAAGTGAGCTGGGAGCCCCTGGAGGGTTTAAGCAGGGCCAATGCAATATGGTGCTCGATTTCAGGGTATCTGTGAATACAGCCTGGGGACAGAGCAAAGTGGGGTGGGGAAGCAGGGAGCTCCTGTANAATACAACCTGGGGACAGAGCAAAGTGGGGTGGGGAAGCAGGGAGCTCCTGTAATGGTCCCCAGTGAACCAAACCGCCTTGGTTATTGGATGCGAGGTGGCTCATGTCCCTCTGGCACCGTCTCTTCCCCAGAGCCTCGGTCAGGAGCCGCAGAGCCTCAGTCAGAAGCCGCAGAGCCTCAGTCCGGAGCCGCAGAGCCTCAGTCCGGAGCCGCAGAGCCTCGGTCAGGAGCCCCAGAGCCTCAGTCAGAAGCCCCAGAGCCTCAGTCAGAAGCCGCAGAGCCTCAGTCAGAAGCCCCAGAGCCTCAGTCAGGAGCCGCAGAGCCTCGGTCAGGAGCCGCAGAGCCTCGGTCAGGAGCCCCAGAGCCTCAGTCAGAAGCCCCAGAGCCTCAGTCAGGAGCTGCAGAGCCCAGAGGCAAGTCCCCACACTATGATGGTCGTGCTGACCCCAACATGTCCACGTTCACCTCCCACCTGGAAGCGATGACTCTTGAAGGCAAGGATCCAGAAGCTGCAGAAGATGGCCCCTGAGTGGACTGAGCCCAGCACGGGTTCTAGGGGAGGTGGGGTCAGAACAAACAGCCCGAGGGTGGACGGAAGCTGAAAGGGAGCCCGTGGTGCCAGTGAGCACTGTTTAGTCAGTCATGACCCATAAATGCCATTGCTGACCTTCTTGCCTCCTGACCGTGGCCAGCATGAACACGGGGGCTAGGCCAAGGCTATGTCTGTGGTGGCCAGGAGCAGAACGACAGGGCCACCCCCGGAACCCTCGGGGTGCCAGAGGAGGTGAGCTGATGGGAGGGGTGCTCAGGGAGCCAGCAGGCTGGGGGGCAGCGGGCTCTGGGAGGGGTGCCCTGGGCCAGCCAAGCAAAGACCTGAGGACAGCACTGCAGTGGTAGGAACAGCAAGTGCAAAGGCCCTGAGGTGGGAATAAGGGTGAACTGTCCAGGGAGCGAGAGGGAGGGTACCGATGAGCAAGGGCAGGGGTCCACCCACCCTCGTGGACCACCTTCCGTGGTGGCCCACTCTCTTCTCCTCACTAAGACCTGACTTTCTCAAAGCTGGGGAAGGAAAGCAGAGCTGGACCACATGCACCTGGGAGCTGGACTTGACACTGGGCTCTGGACAGGCACAGCCCCATCTGCACACGCATTCCGGGGGGACCTGGGCAGGCCTTGGATTCACTGGGGGGTGGGAGGAACCTTATCCCATGGGCTAGAATTGCCCAGCCTACTGGGCGCAAGGTTATCTTGGCCACCATAGTGACCTGGGGCCCCCTGATCACTCTCACATGGGATATCTGGTTTGCAGGCATGTGCCAGGTGTAGGGGCTTGAAATCGGCTTTGGCTCATCACTTCTGGCACTGTCCTCCCTCCGTGGCAAGCTGAAAACCCACTGCTTGCTTTCAAGTTTGCCCGAGGTTTGTAGTTAACCAGGCCCATGTCAGCAATGATCAGAAAGCACCTCAGAGCTCAGCCTCGGCCCCCACCACCAGCCCGAATCAGAACACTCTTTTCCCAGTGAGACTGCCCCACTGGGTAATTAATTTGTCATAAACATGCTGACAAAGCGTTGCAGGCAGTTAATGGGGACTGAAGGTGAAGGTCAGCCCCGGTCTCTTCAGGAAGAAAATTAGCCAGCTACCACTAGAAGAGGGCAATGAATAAGTCTGTCCAGCCCCCACTCCTGGCTGTCACTAGCTCTCCCACCCTCCACCCACTCTTCATGTGCACAGGACTTGCAGTCCCTGAAGTTGGGCAGAGGCTGGGGGTGGAGAGAAATAATCTGATCCATGAGTGAGAAGTGATTTTCCAAAACCACCATGACCTGCTCACAAGAGCAATTCTATTTATTTACCCTAGCTTCCCTCCTCCTGTCAGGTGAGCCCAGATGGGACTCCTCGCTTGTGGAATTTTAGCAGACAGACAACGTCAGAGGCTTAAAGCAAGAAAAAGAGTCTGGGGGGTAACTCAGGAGCATTTGGGCTGCAAGTAGAAGAAGCTTAGCTCACCTAGGCTTAAAAAAAGGGAATCTATTTTCCCGTGCAATTGGAAAATCAAGGGCTACTTTGCTTCAGGAATGGCTGGGTCCAGGGGCTCAAGCATTATTTTTAGGCCCTTTTTTTCCATCTCTCTGACTCTCTATGTGACCACCAGTAACCCAAGGCTTATGGCCTACCAACCTAGCAACCTGAGCAGAAAGAGAATTCTTCAAGCCAAATACTGCTGGTAGAATGTCCCAGGGAAGGTTCCGATTGGTTGAGCATGGGTCACATGCTGATCCTTGAACCAATCAGGAAGAAGGGAGCACTCTGATTGACTGATGTGATGGGGGAAGTGAGGTCATCCATGTGGATCTGTTCTCCAGAAAGGAGAAGGAAGGGTGCTGAGCTGGCGAAAGTCAGGTGTCCACTTCAGGAGGTGGGTGTGGGTGCTTCTCCTGAGGATTCCCTAAACACGGAAGGGCTTTCTTTATCGAAAGAAAGGGAAGGCACTTCATTTGAGGGATGGCCATGGAGTTGAGACACTCCATGGATCCGGGTAGACGCCCAGTCATTTAACCCTCTCTGCGCGTCTGTTCCTATCTCGCACAGCACCAAGAATTCCTCTTCTGCCTCTTTCACAGGATGTTTGGGGGACAAGGTGCAGTCAGTGGGCGTATGCGCAGCTTTAAATTGGGGAGTGTGCGTGGTGGGCAGGTATGGGGTTAGTAGTAGCCTGTAAATTATAGAAAAATCCTACTCAAATTGGATCTTATTTAAGAATATATTTCACAAGACATTTGAGAGAAGTTTCCAACTTGAAGGTCAGACAAAAAGCAAACAAACATAAGAGAGGAGTTATGCGGAACTAGAGAAAATGTGGCCCTGGCCGGGCAGCTCGGTTGGTCAGAGCGTCGTTCCTATGACCAAGGTTGCGGGTTTGATCCCCAGTTATGGCACATACAAGAGTCAACCAATGATGTGGAATAGCAAATCCGTGTTTCTCTCTCTCTCTCTCTCTCTCTCTCTCTCTCTCCCAAATCAATTTAAAAAGAAAAAAAGTATGCAGTGAACAGAAGAAAATGTCAAAGATCCATCATTAACACCCTCCAAGGAGGAGAGGAAATCACAACCAGGAAACAAGAATGGTTTGCTCAAAAAAAAAGGAAGTGTAGCGCCAGGCCGGGCCTGGCTCAGCAGTTGAGCATCGACCTGGGATCCAGGCTATCGGGGTTCGGTTCCTGGTCAGGGCACATGCCCGGGTTGCGGGCTCGATCAATGACTCTCATCATTGACGTTTCTGTCTCTCTCCCTCTCCTTCCTCTCTCTGAAATCAATAAAGATATATTTTAAAAGAAAAAAAAAAAAAAAAGGAAGTGTAGGGAAATGAGGAGAACCTCCTTGACATTTTAAGTGTGAAAGCTGAAATTTTAAAAAAAAGAGCAATAGAAGAACTGGAAGGCAATGAGAAAATTTTCCCAGATAGTAGATAAAGATCTGTTCATCAAATGGACAATAACAAAGGTGAGACATTTACAGGATGAACTGAGTACGCCCTATAGCTCCCAAGTGGAGAGCACGGATAAAGTAGGGGTACGAATGATCAAAAACAGAGTCCCCAAATAAAAAACTGTGACTTTCTAGATGGAAAAGCCTCCCTAATATTTGCCACAGTGGCTACAAAGCCTCAACCAAGGGACATGTTATAATGAAATTTTGGAAAATTAGGGATGAAGAGATGATGCTAAAAGCCTTGGGCAATTAAACAAAACAGGATCTAGGATCGCATGCCGAAAATTACAACGCAGTCCGAACGACAGGGTGGCACTGCAGTGACCTGGAGGGGGAGGTGAAGCCTTCAGGATTCTCAGCAAAAGTGCTTTCACCTGGCTGTGCTGTCCCCTGTTACAGTCACCCAAGAGTGTAAACAGACTGCAGGTGAGGCCTTTTCCAGCACCTCAAACAATGTGGCCAATTGTCCCTCCGTGTCTCAGTTTGGCCTCCCACAGACAGATTTCTGACACCACACGGACACCTTCCAGTCCCAAGGATTCCGCTCTGGTGGTGATAAAAAGGCTGCTGTGGTTCCAGACTTTACATCCATACCAGGGACAAAAGTAGCTTCTAACCCACCCCAGGATTCATCATCTCTAGTTGGTCACGGTGATGAGTCATTTGCCGTGGCAAGTCCAGGTCCACCCCTGATGTTGGGGGAGCTTAGACTCACCCAGCATTTTCTAAGCACCCCTTAATCGTCTTCTTAAGCAGACGAGTAAATTGGGGCCAAGGAGGGCAAATGATTTGACTAAGATGATATGTGAAGCCCATGACTGGGGCTGAGCCTTCTGGATTCTGAACCAGATCATAAACCCACCACCCAGGGGCACACTCCTGTCTCCTATCTGATGGGTGAATAAAAATGCCACCAGCTCCTCAGAGAAGAGGCATAGGCAGGACCAGCATTTTGTATCCTGTGAAAACACTCCCCTGGCAAGAGGTCCTGGGAGATAAGGGTTCCCTGAACAGAGAAACTGGAGATGCAGAGTAGCCAGCCCTGGGTGATCCTTAAGGATCCCATTGCCCAGAGAGCTAAACTGAGGCTTAGGGAGATGAGGAAATTGCCCAAAGGACAAAGACAGGATTTGAATCCAGGCTACCGGGCTCCTAAGCCAGTGCTCTTAACCATGTTGCTGAAGAAGCTGTTAGGGACTCAACAGCCAGCCTGGTTCCCACCACCTGGCCCCACCTGTGACTCGCTCACTCATTTCCTTTCCCAACCCCACCCAGGAACCTTTGGCCTTGGCCACCATCAGCTGAGTCTCCACCAGCTGCTGGAGAAGCAGCCCAGCCAGGAAAAGGCCACAAAGCCAGGAGGACAGCAGCCCCAGCCCCAGCCCCAGCCCCAGCCACTGGTGGGAGGCGTGGGGTGCGCCCATGAGGGTCTGGGGTCAAGGCCCTGAGGTTCCGGAGGTGAATCCCAGTCCTGCCCTCCCTGTGTGCGTGTGCCCACCCCCAGCCTCCCACTTAGCAGCTCCGAGCCTTCTGGAGAATGGGCGGGGGCAACCAAGCTCTCACGGGCAGGTTTTCAAGAGGCTTAGAGGAGACGACGGCCAGGGAGCCCGCCAGGCCACACGTGGGAAAAACTCAGGAAACAAGTTGTTCAGTGGATCCTCCCGGGGCCCATGTTACCCACATCCTGTTCGCCCAGGGCACATGTGACAAGTCAGGAGACATTTCTTTTTTTTTTTTTTTTAATGTCTTTATTGATTTCAGAGAGAGGAAGGGAGAGGGCGAGAGAGAGAAACATCAATGATGAGAGTCATTGATCGGCTGCCTCCTGCACGCCCCTGACTAGGGACGGAGCAGCAACCCGGCCTGGGCCCTGACCGGGCATGGAACCGCCATCTCCTGGATCCTAGGTCGCGCTCAACCGCTGAGCCACACCGGCCAGGCCAGGAGACATTTCTGATTGTCACGGGCGGATGGAGGAAGGGAAAGGGGGTGCTTTCCCGTTGCTGCTGTGACACTGCCACAAAGGCAGAGGCATAA